AGATAGATAGATAGATAAATAGATAGATAATATATAATTGGTTGACCAGAGAGAGAGACAGACAGACAGATTATAGAGACATGATAGAATTGGATGGATGGATGGATAGAGAGAGAGAGATTGTGCAAATCACACACATATAGAGAGAGATTGTGCAAATCACACACACATAGAGAGAGATTGTGCAAATCACACACACACACAGATAGATAAATAGATAGATAATATATAATTGGTTGACCAGAGAGAGAGAGAGAGACAGATTATAGAGACATGATAGAATTGGATGGATGGAGAGAGAGAGAGAGAGAGAGGGAGGGAGAGGGAGGGAGATTGTGCAAATATATAAGCGCATTGGAGGTGGCTGTGTGGTCCAGAGCATCTTTCAGCCTGCAAACGGCGGCGCTCCGTTGGGCTCCATCCCTGTGCAAAGGTTTGCACGGATGATGCACGCGTCTATCTGCCCGCCTCTGGTGGAAGTCTTCCCCCCCCGTGTGTGTGTGTGTGTGTGCAAAATATGCGTGTCCCTGAACCTATCTCCCGTGGAGAGAAGGCGTTGTGGGGAAGGGGTGGTGTTAGGATGATGCGTGTTAGGTGCAAGCGGGAGAGGGGGGGGATGGAGCAAGCTAGGATGGGATGGGGTGGGGTGGGCTGATTTTGGAGAGCAGCCCGGCGGCTCCGATTATGTCATCGTGTGTCGTGGGGAGGCTGGCTGTGATCGCGCCACCCTTTTGGGGCTGAGTAATGATGCAGAAGGTGGAGGATGCAGGGGGGTGGGGAGATTGGAAAAGAGAGCAGAGAAATGCAAGGAATTTTAATCCTAATTTTTTATTTATTTATTTGCAAACCTATCCAGGCTTAGGACCAGAAAGCATCCTCTCGCTTGTCATTGGGAAGCCAGGAGAAGGCGGGATATGTAACCCCCCCTTTTTTCTCCCCCCCAAAAAAGAAGGACTGGACTTTATTTTGGAAAGAGGCTACAATATTTAAAAAGTGAGCGGCTTTAAACTGAAGGCTATGCACTTTTTAAATATTGTAGCCTCTTTCCAAAATAAATCTCATCATTCATTGGCATCCTTCAGTCTCAAGGGACTATGGTATCGTGCTCTGGAAAGAGGTCCTAAAACAGCATTTAGTGTGACTAAAAAGGCCAATTCGAGAGTGGCCATCCCTTCCACACATAAAATAAATCGATGCCTTCATATATTTATTCCGTCCAGTATCTGATTTTTTTCCTCCCCACTATTCTTCGATGGTAAGACACTGGTATCTGGAGAGAGAGAGAGATTTTTGGAACTGTTCATATTTTTTAATCGAGGGGAAACATTAATATGTACTGCAAATCCCCGTTAGGATAATGCCAGTAAGATAAATCAATAAATACGTTTTAAAAGTATCGTCCTTTTTTATTTATTTTTTTTGCAAGTCTTTTGCTTCTTTTTGCTGGCCTATGCCCCTGCAAAAAAAATACATTTCTGAAATCCGACTGCACGCCAGATATTTGGGTTTTAATTAATTAATTTATATTTTTCGCCCCAAACATATTTTTCGCCCCTCCAAACATTTGGAGAATGTTTTAAAAGGCGATTCTTGAGGCCTCTCCGGTTTGATTGGAAATTGGTCTTATTTTTTTTTCCCCCAGAAAATGTTTTTTTTTAAATCTCCATAAACATTATTTTAAAAGCCTTTTTTATGACTCTCTGGTTTGATTGGAAATTGGTCTTATTTTTTTTTCCCCCAGAAAATGTTTTTTTTAAATCTCCATAAACATTTTTTAAAAGCCTTTTTATGACTCTCTGGTTTGATTGGAAATTGGCCTTATTTTTTTTTTTAGACCTAGTGGATGTAAAAATCTGACCTGGTCTCCTTTCGGTAGCTGCCAATGTTTCTTAAAATAGTGTGAATTTGTGTGTATGTGTGGATAATAGTGTATCTCTTCCGCACCGTCCTTCCTGAATTCTTCCTGGAACGCTTAATGTTAGCGTGCACTGATGGCAGGAGAGCCATAAATTTTTCCTGACTGTCTAGCAGGAGAGGAGAGAAATAAAATGGCTTATTCTGCTGAATATATATATATATATATTTAGATTTCCCCCCTAATCATGGTCTGGTCTGGTCTGGTGGATAGCTTGGCTGTAGGACAATCCAGAGAGGGGTATTTTCTGTAGCTTGGCATCTAATCCTAGTACTTTAGGGAGTGTGTAACCTGTGTTTTAGTGACAGTTTTTTTTTTCTAAAAAAGCGACTCAGATCTGCAGTGCTGCATTCAGGAAAAATCCAGGAAATAATCCTCTTTTAGCTGCCCCTGGGTACTGAGCACTTGTGTTTTATTTCCAGACTGGCTGGGCATGTTATACTGTAAGTGCGTTGGCAAGAACTGAGGCAGAGATGTGACACACAACCACAGAACTCGCACTCAGTCGGAGGCCGAGCGTTTTTTTTAAAAGCCTTTTTTATGACTCTCTGGTTTGATTGGAAATTGGCCTTATTTTTTTTTTTTAGACCTAGTGGATGTAAAAATCTGACCTGGTCTCCTTTCGGTAGCTGCCAATGTTTCTTAAAATAGTGTGAATTTGTGTGTATGTGTGGATAATAGTGTATCTCTTCCGCACCGTCCTTCCTGAATTCTTCCTGGAACGCTTAATGTTAGCGTGCACTGATGGCAGGAGAGCCATAAATTTTTCCTGACTGTCTAGCAGGAGAGGAGAGAAATAAAATGGCTTATTCTGCTGAATATATATATATATATATTTAGATTTCCCCCCTAATCATGGTCTGGTCTGGTCTGGTGGATAGCTTGGCTGTAGGACAATCCAGAGAGGGGTATTTTCTGTAGCTTGGCATCTAATCCTAGTACTTTAGGGAGTGTGTAACCTGTGTTTTAGTGACAGTTTTTTTTTTCTAAAAAAGCGACTCAGATCTGCAGTGCTGCATTCAGGAAAAATCCAGGAAATAATCCTCTTTTAGCTGCCCCTGGGTACTGAGCACTTGTGTTTTATTTCCAGACTGGCTGGGCATGTTATACTGTAAGTGCGTTGGCAAGAACTGAGGCAGAGATGTGACACACAACCACAGAACTCGGCACTCAGTCGGAGGCCGAGCGGTTCATTACATATCATTGTCATCTTCTTTTAAAGATCCCATAATTCCTTGCGGGTGTTGTGGCTCCGTTACCTGAGCCTGTGTCATCAGCAGGAGAGGACTCCGAGAGTGAAGGAGAGGAGTTGGCAAGGCCTCCCTCTCCAGGACCCTCCTCTCTGGCAATGCCTTTGGTGTCCGCCGAAGGGCAAGAGATAGGGCCGGGGCCAAGCACGTCCACGCAGCCACAGATGGACAGTGATGAGGGTAATGAGTCTTGGCTGGATCCTTGGCAGCGTCACAGAGATAAGCGTGCGCAACAGAAGAAAAGGCGTGCCCGAGATTAGGCTGAGTCACTGGACCACACCCCACAGGATATAAAAGGGAGCGTGGTGGCCAGTCAAACCTTGTGACGAACAAAGCTGAAAGCTTCCACGCCATTCTGCATTGCCGGACTTTTGTTATAGACTTTGCTGGATTATCTCCGGATTTGATTGACTCTGTAATTATTGAGCTGTTTCTTTTGATGTACCAGAAGCGGGGAGAAGTTATCTCTCCTCTTCGTAAGTAATAAACTCTTGGCAGGCAGCCACTAGGTTGTTGCCAAGTTCCGTTATCATAGGGAAAAGGATTTTGCCGGCTGGTTTGGTCTTTAACTCTTGAACGTCTGTTGGTGTGTGT